GGGGGCAGTTCAAAGGGCTTGGCTGGCTTGGGTCATATGCCCATCCCTTAGCCAGAACACCTTAAACAAAAGTCTCAATAAAGCATTAAACAATGCAGAGAAAGTAACTTCCCAAAATGAAAATGGGAGTTCTTAGCAGAAAGAAGAGGAATGAGTGGGGGTGGGCCCCCCAGATCAGCAAAGTGCCCACTAAACATATGCTCCCACTACCTGGACTGACTCCCTGCCCCCTCTTTGGTTAGTTAACCCTACTCCATTCTCAGATTCCAGCCCAATTGTCTCTTCATTTAAGATGCTTTCTCTCATCTTCCCATGGGGGTCAAAGGTCTCTATTCTGTCCTTTCCTAGTACTATAACCTCTCCTTGATAGCACTTTAAAATGGCCACTGCAGCAATTTTACATTTATTTGTTAGTGTTTGAATTACATACATCACTCCCAATTGTCTAAACAGTCCATGAGAGCTGAGCCCATGTTTGTTTGGCTTACTGTGGTGTCTTCAGTGCCTAGCACAGTACCTGGCAAAGCGAAGATACTCAACAAGCATTTATTTAATGTATGAATCAAGCCATAAAGAGATTTGTTTTCCCAGTGAGATAAAGTATGCCATTCTCTCCTTAGAAGGCAAATGTAGCTAAATTTTTAACAATTTTTTCTATTTATAGTTTAGTAGATAATGTTCTTAAATATAATTTAATCTATACAACAATGTATAGATTTAATCTATAATAATGCAGTAGGAACCCACTTTATACATAAAGAAAGGGAGGCACAAGGAGTTAGGGAATTTGTTCAAATCACATCTCTGGTAAATGATCCATGGGGAATACAAACCCAGGTCTGTCTGATTCCAAAAGCCAAGTTTGAAACGATATAGCATTGCATCTCCATAACACTAGTTATCTTCTAACACAAAAGCCTTAGAGACAGAGTTCATTCATCTGTAAAATTTGTTTTTAAATAAGAGGTTTCCATGTTTAACATGTAAGAGGTTCTGCCAGCACCAGGACCCATTTCCATGTAAATCCAGATATTTCATAAAAGTTAGGTTAATTTGTAAAATACTGATCCCTGGAGAGAATAAAATAAAATAAATAAAAAACTGGGCAAATGCAATTTGACAGAGAATTATAACTCTTTTCCTGTCATCCTACCTAATAAAGAGGTAATATGCAAATTGACCATCACTCCACACCACAAGATGGCCTGCAGGGGTGGGCAGTTGGGGACAACCAGACCTGCAGGGGAAGGCAGTTGGGGGTGACCAGGCCTGCAGGGGAGGGCAGTTAGGGGTGACCAGGCCTGCAGGGGAGGGCAGTTAAG